GGAACCCAATTACTAATTAGGTGTTGTTTTGATGTTGACAGTTCGGGAATTTGTCAACCAACAGCTAGAGTTTTATCCGCGAGACTTCGGTAGTGTGAGGTGAGTCTCCTCACCATACCAATGGGTCGAAGGCACCAAGGTTGGCCCATTTTGTGTTATGTGGTACACTAGTTTATGTAGTAATATGTGGTATGCTAGTTGGTTATATGTTATGTGTTATGCTATTTGTTTATGTGATATTTGCATGAAAGACCATGGGGGAGCCCATGGCACTTGGATGTAAGACCATGGCTTTGCAGGTAAAGACCATGTGGGGGAGCCTATGACACTTGGATGTAAGACCATGTGGGGGATCCCATGACTTTTCAGGTAAAGACCATGGGGGAGCCCATGGCACTTGGATGTAAGACCATGTGGGGGAGCCCATAGCTTTCCAGGTAAAGACCATGGGGGGAGTCCATGGCACATAGGTGTAAGGCCATGTGGGGGAGCCCACAGCATCCCTATATGTTTATATGCATGACTTGTGTAGCTGATACGGTTTATGTGATTATGTGTGTAAGACCTTGGAAGGTTTCCATGGCATCCTTATATGTTCATACGCAAGGCTTATGTGATTGATATGGCTTATGTGATTGATGTGGCTTATGTAGCTTATATGGTCGATATGGTTTATGTGATTATGTGGGGTATGCTCTGGGGAACTCACTAAGCTTCATGCTTACAGTTTTGTTTATGGTTTCAGGTATCATCGGTTTGGAAAGGAAGGACCTGACTTGATCGCAGTGCACACACCCGTGTTCCGCAATATATGATTTTGGGACGAACTCTGATAAATGTTTTTAATTAACCATGTTCTTGGAATGTTTGGATTTAGAAGATATCTGTGTTTTGACTATAATAAAAGTAAAATTTTTACCCTTGATTTTTGGGTCGTTACAATATATATATCGGAGAAAGGACAAATTATTTGACGCCTATTTCATTTGCACACAAATTCTAGGCTTTCGTAGTTCTAATCATAAATTGAGCAAGTTAGTAGGATTAATGGCAGGCTTAAAGAGCTTTCAACACTTCAAATCATCGTTAGGATTCTCTACTCTAGTTCGGCACATGCAAAACGTTTCCGGATCTCTTTGTTGACAACCTTCCTTTCCTTTTCGAATTCATTTTGCCAATTTGAAGTTCACTACATGTTTTTCAATAGCTAGTGTCTCTTAAATTCTTCATTCTAACGTTTTTAAAGATAAATTATTTTCTTTATGTGATTGATTATGTTTCTTGCGAAGAAATTTATTAGCCTTGTTAATGATGCCATTATTCCTCTTCTTGCCACTTGTAAAAATCAGCAACTACATAACCCCCATCAAGTGTTGTTTGTCTCTAATTTCTAATTAAATCTCACTTTGGTAAGTAAGATGCTCAATCAGACTAAATGTGTTTTCATTATTCTCATTGTATGATAACACTTGTTAAAGACTTGAAGAATTATACATTATTGGGCTCGAACAATCTCTCATCGGGATGAACTTTTTAATCAGTCAGTAGTATTTGGTCTGGTTCTCGGTTCCTGTTCACTCCTTAATTGGTTTTCAGTTATTCTGGTTCTGATTCGGTTCAATTAATAGCCAATTAAGCAACCTTCCTCCATAAAAAGGTGATAAATCACATAGACGATTTTTGTAATTTAGTCATCTATCGTAAAGAGGACAAAGCAAGCTCTTTTGATATTTGTCACTTTCATTTTCGAGATAAAATAGATTTTGGACGTCTTAGAAAAATTGCTGGAAACAAGGTTTTTGGTATTGATACATATATCAACAACTTTTAATCCAATGGCCTATGAATCTCATCCACTCATTTTATATTTCTAGCCAATTTTGATATATTAAAAAAAAGTCAAATTGAAGTAATTAATGTTCAATGATGAATTGTGATTGATCAAGATATGTCCTTATGCATGAACAATCAAGAAGGAAACTGCCATTACATTATTCATGAAAAGAGAAAAAACCAAAACTTGAGTGGTTTACATCAAATTTCCAAGATATGAAAACTTTAATGAGAAGAACATAGCAATTAATACTTGACACAATTTTGTTATATAAGATGATGGCTCACTTTGTGCTTGAATACAGATTAATCTATTAACCCAACTTATTTACATTTTACAAGATCTTGGAGCAATTAATATCAACGTTAATCAAATTATCATCACTATTTATCAAGTAAAAACATGTCCACTAAGTGAAAAGAAGATGTACCACAAGATAATATGTAATGATAAGAATAAATCGCTTGTAAATCAACGTTAATGAGTCTATGTTATAAATCTATAATAATATAATGACTCGGTTAGTAAAAATAAAAAAGTAACTTCTAAGTTTGGATATCTGAATTATACATTTGATTATAGACCTAAAATACATGTCATTCAATACTGATTTTGAAAACATTTTAATTATAAATAATAACTAGATATATGTTGCTTATATAGTTTTATGCAGAATGATAAAAATGACATATATGATATGTTCGACAACATGCATTTGAGAGTTTTATTATTTGGTTTATAAAAGAAAAAAAATAATAATAAAAAACTCAAATAAAAGATAATGTTTTGTTCATGGGTACAAGCTTAAAAGGTTTATTTTAAACAAAAACTCTTAATCTAAAAGTACTTCAAGTAACTTTTTGGAATTTTTATATTTTATCGCATTTATATCTTTCTTTCAAAAGCATTCCATTTACATTGGTTTATTATTTTTATACAAATAAAAATACAACTTCCACCTTCTAACTATTTACTATAAATTGAATCATATTGAATATAAGGAAAACGTTAAAAGTGACCAACGAACTATTCTTTTTGTCCATTTTTAATCACTCAACTTAATTTTGTCCAATATACTTTTCAAAATCGTCTAATTTTAGTAACTCAACTTATTTTGTCTGACTTTTAGATAATAAACTTTCTAAAGTCGTTTTATTTTAGTCATATAAAGTAGATTAAGGTCTATAGTTGGGTAAAGGGACTAAAAATATCATTTTGAAAAGTTGATTACCTAAAAGAATTAGACACAAATAAGTTGAGTGACCAAAAATACATGATTTTGAAAAATTCATTATCTAAAAAACCGGACAAAAATAAATTCAATGACTATAAATAAACAAATAAAATAATTCGCTAGTCATTTTAACGTTTTCCTTTGAATTTAAACTTCACTTTGATATGCATTATCAAAACAGTAAATTCAATAGTTTACTTAAATAAATGTTATATTTACTCAATAGTTTACTTAAATAAATGTTATATTTACCCTTGTCAGATTGGTTCATGAAGTATCCACCCTGGCCAGGAAGGAGGATAATAATTGATGAAATTAGAATTTTCCACTCTGGCAAAGATAGAGAAAGGATATGGAGAATGCACTACATTTTGGTGGGTCTCATCCGTTATGTTGTACAAGATAAGGAGAGAAAAGTCAGCAAAAAACGCAAAAAGCAGTAAATTACAAAACCACCCTTCGACTACTCATCGACTAGTACATTGTGGCATTCGTAAAATTATTTTACTTTTAGTGTTTATAATAAAAGAGTTCATGAAGATCGAGAACCAACATTGCAATAGAATGAATGCTGTCGGGGGACAGATTATTGCTATATAATTGGGACAACTATATAAAGTTTTTTGAATAGTTGTTAACCGAGTCAAAATTTAATTGAGTCGGACTCAACTTTTTATCAAATCCAATAACTATAAGAAACATATCAAAGGTTATATGACCAAATTAAGTGATTTTAATTATGGTATCAAACAGTCTGATCAAGTCGGACTCAACCTATTACCAAGACCTAGTAAAAACATATCAAACAACCTCATAATAGCTCAAGTTGTTTATCTTCTTATATTTGTTAAATGAAGCTCACATATTTAAGACTTGTATTGTATTAAAGTAATTTATATTTTTGAATGTTTTTAGTTATGTGTTGTTGATAGTCTGTAGAGTATATATATATATATATATATATATATATATATATATATATATATATATATATATAAAATTTAATTTATATATGAATCTATAGTGGCACCAAAATTAATGTTCTCTAAGATTTAAAGTCAAAACAAAAAGAAGGGTTGCTATCACATAAATGTTATCAATGTTCTGAGGAAGAAAATTGAAAATCAGGTTGAACAAACAAATCGATCCATAATTAATAACAATTACTCTTTTAAATAAATGTTTGTCCCTAAAATTTGATAAATTGTCACATGTAGTTAAGATTAGTTGAATCACAGATATAGATAGACCGAAATTCTTTCGTATAAAAAAAATGTTTCTAAAACAATAACCTTTTTCTAACCTTAGTCAAATAGCCATTTGAATGTAAGGATTTGAGGACCAAAAGGTAAACAAATATGCATGAAACACTGAAACCTACAAAGTTTTAAATAGTCTAAGGGCTATTTTTGTAGTTCTTTATAACTAAAGAGCAAAATTCCAAGAAAGAAGGGAAAGAGAACACGAACCTGTGGCTGCAAATTGGCTATCACTACTTCTCTTCTCCTAAACCCATTGAAGCTAACACACCTCCTACATCTCCCTTTCTTGGTGTCTTCGTGTGTTTCTAAATCAATTGAAAGCCGAAGGAACCAAGATTCTGATTAGGATTAGCAGTTATTAATTTCTTCAAATCCCCTCATTTATATTACGAAAAAGATGCTCCCCTTTTCGTTCATGGCCTACAATGATTCTTGATCACATGAGTGAAGATCAAATGAGCGATAAGGAATAAAGAGAAGATAAGATTAATTAGTGAACTCTATTATTCTTCAACAAATACTCTATAGGCCCTAGAACAGTAGAAATTCCATGGTTATGTCTACTTGAAAACCCGAATCAAGAAAACAAGATCCGAACTTTATAGTTAACTGTTCACGATCAAAATTAGGATCTGGGCTTTTCAAGATTTGGTGTTTTGAAGGATTTGAGATGTCGGGTGGGTGTAGTATAGTGTGGTTTAGGAGAGATCTGAGGGTAGAAGATAACCCTGCTTTGACTGCAGGTGTTAGGGCAGGAAACGTGATAGCAGTGTACATATGGGCACCTGAAGAAGAAGGTCATTATTACCCTGGAAGGGTATCAAGATGGTGGCTAAAACAGAGTTTGGCTTTATTGGATTCGTCTTTGAAAAACCTTGGCACTTCTCTTGTTACCAAGAGATCTACTGATAGCGTTTCTTCTCTTCTTGAGATTATCAAATCCACTGGTGCTACTCAGCTGTTTTTCAATCATTTATATGGTTAGTTTATTTTATTTTTTTGTTTTTTTGGTTACTTTTTATGGTAGTTTTGGTGAGAATTATGGTGTTGTTCTGTCTTAACTTATCTGGAATTGGTAGATCTTTTTCCCAAAATAGAAAGGATTTTGAGATTTTGGGTATATTATTTTATGTCTTAAGTGGAACTGTTGGATTTTTTTACCCAAAAGAGTATGAATTTTGAGATCTTGTTTACATTATTGTGTCTCCGAACTTGTCTGGGATTATTAGGGTTTTCCCAAAAAAAAGTATGAATTTTGAGATCTTGTATACATTATTATGCGTCCTAACTTCTCTGGGATTGTTAGGTTTTTCCCTCAAATAAAGTATGAATATTGAGATGTTGGATGCATCATCCTTATGATTCAAGAAGTTTTAGGTAGTGTTTGCAACCGAAATCAGGGATCTTTTACTTACTTAATAATTAATTTTTTTTGCAACTGGTATCAAATTGAATTTGATTATATACCCACTAAATAAAATGTGGAAAACTGAAATTAACATAATTTTGTTTCTATGTGTTTTAGATCCGTTGTCTCTGGTTAGGGATCACAGAATGAAGGAGATTTTAACAAGTAATGGGATATCAGTGCGTTCATTTAATGCGGATTTATTATATGAACCATGGGAAGTTCTTGATGACGAAGGTCGTCCATTCAATACATTTACACAATTTTGGGACAGGTGTCTTAGCATGCCTTATGATCCTGAATCTCCACAACTCCCACCAAAAAAGATAATCTCAGGTCACTTTTCTCATATGCTTAATCGTATCAACCTCTATTTAAAAAACTTAATAACAACAAAACGAGTTAACAAAGAAAGTCAGGGAAATGAGACTTGCCCAATGTGCCCTAATTTTTTTACAAATTTGCCTTAGTTTATATTTCTTTCCATTCCCTAAAGCATGCCATCATTTTTTTCAAATATTGAATGCGAGTAAATGACGATTTTACCCTTCTAATAACTATTTATTCGAGAACTATTATAAATTTCCGTGCTTGTGCTTGTTTTTATTAGGCGATTTATCAAAGTGTGGTTCGGAAACATTAATATTCGAGGACGAATCCGAGAAAGGAAGCAATGCACTTCTAGCCCGGGCATGGTCACCGGGCTGGAGCAATGCGGATAAAGCCCTGGCGGCTTTCATCAACGGGCCACTCCTCGAATACTCCAAAAACCATAGAAAAGCCGATAGTGCCACCACATCATTCCTATCTCCTCACCTCCATTTTGGCGAACTTTCTGTACGAAAAGTCTTTCATTTATTACGAATCAAACAAGTCCTTTGGGCCAACGAAGGTAACACCACAGGTGAAGAAAGCGTAAATTTATTCCTTAAATCCATCGGGCTTCGGGAATATTCAAGGTATATGAGTTTTAATCATCCGTATAGTCACGAAAGGCCTCTTTTGGGGCATTTGAAGTTTTTTCCATGGGTGATAGACGAGGGGTATTTTAAGGCGTGGAGACAGGGTCGAACGGGTTACCCGTTGGTTGATGCGGGTATGAGAGAGTTATGGGCCACGGGTTGGCTCCATGATAGGATACGGGTCGTGGTGGCCAGTTTTTTTGTGAAGGTTTTACAGTTACCATGGAGATGGGGGATGAAGTATTTTTGGGATACGCTTTTGGATGCGGATCTTGAGAGTGATGCTTTGGGTTGGCAGTATATTACGGGTACTTTACCCGATGGCCGTGAATTTGATCGTATCGATAATCCACAGGTATTCTATAATAGTAAAATATACTTTCATTTATTTGTATAATTATAGAATGTTACTTTCATTTTTTTTTGTTACTTCCAATTAGGTTATATTAGAGAAAATTGATTCGTGAACAAATAATGAAATTAGAGAAATTAAATTGCTTCCTACTTTTTATGCCTACAAATGTTCCTACCCAATAAAATTATGACAAGTGTCATCATTCCATATTTTTTTAACTAACTCATTAAGGTTATATTAGGAATATATAAAATACAATTAAATTGGATGGTGATTTGTCATAATTTTAGTGGGTAGGAATAATTGTAGGCATAAAAGGCATGACTCGTGAAATTATATTAAACCCTAAAAAACAAGATAATGTTCAAATGCTTGGCTATTTATTTTTTTGGTAGTTTGAGGGCTATAAATTTGACCCGAATGGGGAATACGTAAGAAGATGGCTACCGGAACTTGCTAGACTACCGACGGAATGGATTCACCACCCATGGGATGCACCGGAATACGTCCTTCAAGCCGCTGGAATCGAGCTAGGGTCCAATTACCCTCTCCCGATTGTAAAAATGGATGAGGCAAAAGCCCGATTACAAGAAGCGCTTACTCAAATGTGGCAGCACGAAGCGTCTTCTCGAGCGATTCTGGAAAACGCAATTGAAGAAGGGCTTGGAGACTCGTCGGAAACTGCTCCGATTGCTTTCCCTCAAGACATGGAGATGGAGATGGACGAGAATACGCTGAGGACGAACCCTACGACCACCACGATCCGTCATTACGAAGACCAAATGGTTCCGAGTATGACGACGTCGTTGTTTAGGGGAGGGGAAGAGGAATCGTCTTCAGAAATTGGAAATTTTAGGGAAGATAGCAGGGCGGAAGTTCCGATTAATCAAGGCGGAGATGGAGATGGAGAGGGTCAAACGGTGAGGACGGGTAATATGCAGCCACCGATTGATATCACGAGGGCATTGAGAATTACGGATGATTTGCCGGCGGATTCTTCCAACAGTTCGAGTTCAAGTTCGAGGGAAAGAGATGGGGGTGTTGTGCCTGTATGGTCGCCTTCCACTTCTAGTTTTTCGGAGACGTTTGTTGGTGAAGATAGTTCTTATTTGCAGAGGCGTACGCAATCTCATCAATTAATCAACAACTGGAGGCGGCTTTCGCAAACCGGGTAAGTGTTATGATCTGTAACAACCTAATTTTGTTCAAAATCATATATACCCAAAAGCCATTTGTTTTCAAGATTTTTTTAATTCAATGCAGGTGATCTGTGTTTGTGAATGCGAGAAGGTGGAAGCTTGAAGATGGTAGGTGCTATATCAGATGATCGTGGGTCTTCATTTTCCGATCTGACCTGATCCAACGGTGGACGATCTGTGGGCAGAAATTCAGATTTTTTGAAACCGAAAGATAAAGCATCTTTGCTTCTTTTAGTTCTGTGTTGTGGTTATGCTGTATAGTAACTGGTAGTGATGTGGTATATAACTTGCATGCATCTACGTGTATATATGTTATATATACGTATATGTGATATGTATATGTATAAGTATGTGTTTATGTTCATTATCATCTTTGTAGTCAGGGTTGTATTTTAGCACGTTGACCAATCTTGTATTGTTGTGTGCTAAAAATGTAGGAATTGTGGCATGTCTTTCTTTTTTGCTTTTCGATTTGGCAATTTGGCGCCAGCACCGGTGGTCGTTTGTCCATGCTGACTGGACCAGACTTTTAGGTCCGGGTCAGGACTTGTGATATACTTTTTTAGTTTTTAGTATAAATCTAAACAGGTAGGTTTGTATTAACCCCCATTAGTTTTTTGGCCGTTTTTTTCAAGTAGTTAATGTTTTGATAACATAAAGAAAAAACCATTCAACTTTTAAATTGATGTCATTTATAAATTATACTGAATCTGGTATAAGATTTCGTTATTACCACTTGTTCTAATTTCAAATTTTTTAAATGAACAAGCAATAGAAAACTCAGTGAGTTTGTGACAAAAACTGAATACTCAATTAAATTTTAATTTTCAATTTAAAAATCAAATTTCAACATAAAGAACTTGAACCCTACAATCAAAACCAAACTACCCTCACTAAAGTTCTAAATAAAACATATCTTGGGAAAAAAAAAAAAAAGACTGGTTGGTTCCCCATCTTTTCTTTTCGTGATGTCCTATTTATCCTTAAATCAAATAAATAAAACCCCAATTCCACCTTCATTTATCCTCACAATATAGAAGAAGATAATGAAAATGTGAAGATTTTACTAATACTAACTTGTGTCTTTGCAAAGAGAACCATTTGATAAAAGTCTAAGAATGTTTGAAATAACTACACATTAGAACCTGCTTTCAAGAAGCATATACCAGAATTGAGCAAAATCCATCAACTGCTGATAATTAGTTGAAGCAGAAACATCCCTCTAATTTAACCTGTAAAGGTTGAATATAAGAAATGCTACAATTAGTGACTCCTTTGCTTAAAGAAATGCCACCTCTAAAGTTTGTGTTCAAATGAGATTTTTGTATTGGGTTGATTTTTTTTTAAGTATAGTCTCACCAAGAAATTGAGCATGCAATGCTATAACTGGGCAAAATTCTCAAAGTACAATGACTTAATAAGAAAAAGCTCAAAAGTGCAATGCTGCGATTGGTTAGAAAATTTCCCAGTATAATGCGTCAAAAATGAAATGTTGTAATTGGGTAAAATTTTCAAAGTGCAATACTAATAATAATTTCCACAAAATGTGTAGAAGTTACCTTTACGTTGTTGAGGAAGTGAAAAAAACAGTTCTATAACATGTTGACATGTCCGGACATGCTTGCAGTGCAAGATGGGCACAAAGAACCAATTCCATCTTGTGTTCCAGAAACAGAATGAAGCTGCTGGAGATGGAATTCATTTCTACACCATGCACAGACACTTGTAATCTGCTGATGATTCCTTCCACTTCCAGATGTATTTGTATTTGGCATCATATTCATGGTGGTGTTCTTTCCAAGCCAAAATGAGGAGGAATCAAACTGTTGCTCCATTGGCATCTCCACGTTCACATTCACATTGTATGGAATTGGATACGCCCCCCTTGAATCCCTCCCTTCAAGTGCATGTGCATGTGGATTATGTTGTGATCTACCTGCTGTTAAGAAACTGAATTCCAAAGGCTCAGGTCTGCTATTACTATTACTATTACTAGTAGTAGTACTAGATCTCATTCTCAACCCACTCGCATTAAAACCTTCATTGTATTTGTACCTTTCATCAACTCTAAACTCTCCATCTCCAGCCTGTCATTCAAATTAAACATCAACTTCTTGTTACAAAACTATGTCTACTTTTTAAGGTTAAAGCCAACATATCACAATGTACTTTTATATATTTATTCTAGCTATACTACTAAAATAGTAACCTAACTTTTTGTTTTGTTAAACCAATTTAGCCAACTTGTTCAACTCATTTAGCCCGTTTCATTTGTAGCCAAGTTTTTTAATTTTACACATTTGACCCATTATATTTCAGATGGCATAAAAGTAACGTACCTTTTCAGACATTATATTGAAGGAGTGAAAAGAGCTAGGGTATGGTATCTGGGCATGTGAGGAAGAGTTGGATAAACCACTTCTCATTTGTTGATTTTGATTTCCATCACCACTTTTCCACATACCACCACCAGGTACAACTTCTGCATGACTCTGGCTTCCAAAACCACTACTAAACTTGTTTCCTGAATTTTTCAGATCCTCCCATGCCCTACCAGGGTAAACCGTGTTACCCTGATTCTGAAAGCTACTACTTTTATCATTACAACCAAGGTTAAATAACCCTCTTCCCCCTTTCAGATCATCCACCATGCTATTGTTAACCATACTCAAATTAGTATGGACACCAAAAGTTTCATCCATCTTGGATGGAGCTACAAGATCTTTCTTCTGTTCCACTCTAAGAGAATCTGGATACAGCTCATGAGGGTTCCCAAAAGCAAGACTCAACTCATTGCTGCTAATATCTCTGTCTTCATCAAATTTCAGCCCACCTAACGATGTAGAATACATCTTATTCTCAAAAATATCATCTGATGTGTCAGCAATGGAGAAATGATCAAGTAATCCCCTTTCAGAACTCTCTTCCTGCTTACATTCCTCCATGGCTCTTTCATACAGACAATCTTGAAAACCAAATTCTTGATCGTTTTCAGATGGAATAAGTGAGCAGAATTCAAGATTGCTGCCCAAAGATGTAACTGATTCGTTACCTTTTGCTTCATTATTCCTAAAAGTTTGGAAGTCATCTAATTTATCTTCCTCTTGTTTATTTGAAGGAATTTGGGGTTCCTCCATATTAGGAAAAGAAATATCATTTCCAAGATTTTTATTTTCACACTCTTCCTCCTGCCATGGTGACAGAGATGGACCAAAGCTGCCAAAATCATTTGTCCTGAAATCAAATTGCCCATCAAGTCCAGAACTTGATAAACCAGATGAGAGTTTATTTACATTATTGAATGTGTCAGGAGCAAGGTTATGAACAGATGGAGAGTCTTGTTTTTGGGGAGATATTAGGGTTTCACTATTGACAATTTTAACTGGAACACGGTTTGTTTTAGTAGAAAGCTTCTTGACTACAGTTGCACCATCTTTATCCAGCCCAAAACGACCAAGGAAAAAAACAGATGATGACTCACCAACAGATTTCTCCTTTTCGGTTGCCACCTCATCAGCCTTGATATCAATATCTATATCCATTTTTGCACCAAAACTGTTTTCTTCAATTGTTTTTACTGCAGGATTGGGCAATTCAATACTAGCAGTTGTACCAACATGATCTTTACTACCCATCTGTTCAGGGATGGAATCTGATTGGTCTGGAATGGAATCAACAAATGTAACCCCGGTTTCAGAAACTGGATCTTGATTGATTTCTTGATCAGAAACTGAATTTTGATTGATTGAAACTGAATCTTGATTGATTGGCTGATCAGAAACTGAATCTTGATTGCCCACTAGTTCATTTGGAAATGAAGAAAGCATAAAGCTTTCCGAATTTATACCCTGATCAAGATTGGAATCCAACTTATTGTCAACAGAATTAACATGGGATTCACCTAAAGTTTCAGTGTTTCTGGTGTTTTCATTAATGGACAGGGGAGTTTCAGTTTCATCACCTAATAGTTCAGATTGAGAAACAGAAACATCAGGATCTTGATCTGTTTGAGAGACTTCATCATTCGTAATACTTTTTTCACCTGACTTATGACAGGATTCTTCAATACAGACACCTCTATCTACATTACTATTTCCATCCTGTTTGCTAGGAGACATAATATTAAGGTCATGAGAAGCAGGTTCAACGTTGTCATTAGAATGTGCATCATGAGTCTCAACGACAACATTGTCTCCAGAAGAAACTGTTGCTAGAGACTTATTGTTAGGAGCATCAGTCATCAAATTAGGATCAGAATCCAATTCTGTAGCTGGAGGAAGTGATGGTTCAACTTTCTCTCTTTCATTTTCCACATTGCATTCAATATGCTCATTAACTGGTGTAACAAGTTCAGATCTTTTGGTGTCATGAGCTTCCACCTGGTGGGCCAATAGATCATTTTCACCCTCAAAAGTCAATGAGCATTTTAGGCACTTGAAAGGGTCTTGTACTTGTACCTCCATTTCATCAATGGTGACTTGCTCCTCACATTTTGTAGGTACAGGTGGCGCTGCTGCTGGTGGTGTTGGTGGTGATGAAGATGATGATGGATTGTCAACAGGGTCATCTGTTTTGATGTCTTGTTGTATAACAAGATCCACAGCCTGTCATAAACAACATAAACCAATCAGGGAAAAGGGGGGAATTGAAAAGGGAAATTGGAACACTTGTAAATAACAACTTACATTCACAGAAGCTCCTTCCAAAGCAAAGTTATCAGAAGTGTTAATGTTCACATGATTTTGTTTCTCCGAGTTTTCTTGTTTAACAACAGAGTTCAAGTATGCGGATATTTCTCTGCATGACTCAAACTGCCGACCACTAGGACTGAAATCAAGGTAAGTAAATTATGTGAGAACCATGAAGACATTACATTCACACAGTTGATCTGAATGTGACAAGCTAATAATTGAGCTTTGTGTTCATATGATAGATGGTGGTAACAAGAACATCTACTAAATGTTATTTTAAGTGTGTTAAGATAATTTTAAGTACATTTGTCTTGTCAAGAACTCAAAAATCTAAAGAACAAGAGAACTGTGCATAGATCCTATACCCTTTTCCCCCAAATGTCCCACCAACTTTCACTCCACAAAATAGGCTCTGTGAACGATCTCCCTAAAATGAAACCAAATTGATTATCTGCAACATATGTCTCCATTCTATATGTCTTAACCTAAACTTGATAACAGGTTTTCAAAGCTTAATGGCATGACTCAACTGGATTAGGACTGTTGTTCTCAATCTATCAAGTTATAGTTGTCTACAGATTGAGAATTTGATGAAGATGTTAGCAATGTTGCCACTGGGGTCTCAATTGTGAGTAATTAACCCAAATCATTCCATGGTTGCAACCCCCCACCCCCTGTTTCTCAGCTTTTATCACCTAATCAACTAGAAGAAGTGAAATGCAATGCATGCAGTAAGTTATATCTCCCATTATTGGTTCATCAACCAAATGAATTCTTTCTGAAATTACAATATAGTTGTTTGAAATGATACATCTATATCCGCATTTACTTAATGGAACAGTTGACATCATTGATTAATTTTCAGTATACACAAGATCATCAACAAGTGTATCATATATAGCCTAAAAGCCAGGGAGAAACTAAAACCTTAAGTAGCGTCGACAGAATAACCAAACACGGCCTTCTTTCTTTTTGATGCAGAGACTCAGCTTCCAGCCCTTCGGTAAAACATCACCGAATTCCCTTGCATCCACAACCCTCCTCTTCCTCCTCCTACTCCCCCACTGTCCATTCATACCTCTCAGAAACCCTAACAAGTCATCCTCCGTCGACATTCCCATCGTCCTCCTCCTAATCTCCGGCCCGTAGGGATCGTCTAGTCCGGCAAGTGTAGCCATATTTACTGGTACACCACTATCATTTACGATTTCTCTATCCATCTCATTATCATATACAACGACTTTCTTAACCGTATTATGCCGAATTCTCTTAGCGGTTGGGGGACGAAGAAATACCACATTCTCATGCTTCCGCGGTCTCCCTCTTTTTCTCTTTATCCCTAGGTTTTCAGTACTCAAAAATTCAGGCACAACGGAATTGCTGTTGTTTTCGGCTTCCATCTGATCTACATCCTGGAAATTCGGGTCTGACTTGCAGAGTTGTTTCAACATACGGATGATTTGAGAGTTTTCCGCTTGCTCTGGGTCATTAATGTTGTTGGAAGGGTGCGCATGTGACGCCCGGAGGTGAGGTGTGCGTCGGTGAAGGGTGGTGGTCTTGGTGGTTGTGGAGGAGGACTCCGCCGAGGCAAGACGGAGACGAGAGTAGGTCTGTTTACGGCTACCGGCGGATTCATTGAAAACGGCGCGGTTAATTTTGGGGATAACGACCTCGTCGCAGCGGTTGGGATCGAATGAGGAGTCCGACGATATAGAGAGAGTGTAGAGTTCTGACTGGGTGAGGAGGCGGAGATCAACAACTGGGACCGAGTCCAAACGGATAGCAGGACGCTCGGTGTCGTCAGCCTCGGCAGTGGCAACCGTGGCGGCCATATCGGAAAATGTGTTGTGTCGATGGGGGCCGAGTATATGTAACGTAGATGAAGGACATTTTTACTACTTTAACCTTGTCCCTGTTATATCGAGAAAAACAATTGTTTTTTTTTTCGAATACGTTTTTTTTTTCGAATACTATCAATAAAACCTTTAATTTTGTAATTTTCCAACAGTTTATTTCTCTTATAATTACTTTTTTTTAGATTTTACACTTTTAATTCGACTTTCTGATTCAATATATTTTATTATGTTTTACTAAGGTGATGTTTGTTTTTTCTGAGGCAAAATGTCTGCAGTCTGCAGATCACATCTGTAGACCTCTGCAGTAGAAGATGTGGACCAAACGTCTGCAGTCTAAAAAAAGAAGACTGTTTGTTTTTTTAACATCTGCGGACTAATAAAATAAACTGATTTTTTTAAACTTCAAAGTGTTTTTTTAATATTTTTATCACTTTGTTATAAATAATTAACAAATCTATATCAACTTTTATGTATTATTGTATAAAAAATAAAAATAAAAATGGTATGAATTATCGTATATATTTGATAAAAACCAACAACTTTGGTTGCAAAGTTATAACTAAACATTATAATTAAGAATCAAAGAATTTGATACATAAATGGATGGAAATAAACTTCGATTTTTTCAATTAAATCCATTAAAAACGTAACATAAATATTTTCTCGAGAAATTGATGATAGTGTATTAAATAATGTTTTACAAAAAATATAAGAATATATTATGATTTTTTTTTTTTCGTATTTATATAAACAACTTCAACGACTGTTATTGTAATAAATCTTTATTTATAAATTTGTCAAAAATATCATGTTTGTATTGTCGAACGTTTTTTTTTTAAGTTTTGTAATTTTTTTTTCAAATTGTTTATCATTAATAAAGTTGGAAAAAATATAAATTAAAAAAAACTTTAAAAAATATAGATATATGTGTTTTTTTAGGCTAGAAGATGTCTGAAGATGTTAGAAGACTTTAGTCCACATGTGCGCCAAGAAGAGGGCGCGCAGACATTTCTAGGTCTGCAGTCTTCAAAAAAACAAACAGTCTGCGAAGGCTAATATCTGCGCGTGGTCTGCGCGGCGCAGACAGAAGAGGCCACGCAGATTTGCACACAAAAATCAAACACCATCTAAGAGTGTTCATCAACATATATACTCTACAAAGTGTTCACGAGATTAATGCATAAAAGTCTCATTATTTTGAGAAAAAAATTTAATAAAATCTTAAAAGTTTTTTTAACAGAAAAGTCTTGATTATTTAACATTTTGCCCAAACTAACAAAAAAGTCTTTTTTTATATTTGAACAACAAATAATTGATTATGTGATTTTCTTAAAATAATAAGATTTTTCTGTTCAAAAAAAATTATGCAATTTGAAAAATTCGTAATGCGGTTTATGGTTTTTATTTTTGTCAAACTACAATATGCAGCGCAGTTTGCGGTTTTTAATTATGAAACCACCTTTTAAATCGCACCTTTGTGTGATAACCGTCAATTTTTTGCCAAGTCAAAGTCAACTAAAGTCAACAAGTCAAACCGGTCAACTCATCTAACCCTTGTATATTAGGGTTTCCATTATGATTCTTATTGTACTACTCGCAATCTTAATATAAAGTATCACTTAGAGTTTTCACGTGTTCGGAAATTCTAAACCCTAATCAGGGTAAGTGATGAATCTACTCGGTAAAACATTATTCCTTAACCCTCGGGGGCATATAACAATCATAACGAGACTTAACGAGGTTTACAAACCTTGTGTTACGAAGCCAAACACTCAAAAAGATCACAAAAGAAGTCTCCCAATCTCTTTCACTCTATCTCTCTCTACCTCAAATCTCTCCCAAATCTCTCTAAGTATGCGAAATCTCTCGCTAATCTCTCTAAGTATGTGAAATCTCTCCCAAATCTCTCTCTGTATGAGAAATCTCTCCAAGTATGTGAAATCTCTCCCAAATCTCTCTCTATATGAGAAATCTCTCCAAGTGTGCGAAATCTCTCCCAAATCTCTCTCTGTATGAGAAATCTCTCCAAGTGTGCGAAATCTCTCCCAAATCTCTCTAAGTATGTGGAATCTCTCCCAAATCTCTCTAAGTATGTGGAATCTCTCCCAAATCTCTCCAAGTATGTGAAATCTCTCCCAAATCTCTCTCTGTATGAGAAATCTCTCCAAGTGTGCGAAATCTCTCCCAAATCTCTCTCTGTATGAGAAATCTCTCCAAGTGTGCGAAATCTCTCCCAAATCTCTCTCTGTATGAGAAATCTCTCCAAGTGTGTGAAATCTCTCCCAAATCTCTCTAAGTATGTGAAATCTCTCCCAAAACTCTCTAAATAGGAGAAATCTCTCCAAGTGTGTGAAATCTCTCCCAAATCTCTCCAAGAATGTGAAATCTCTCTCGAAATCTCTCTCAACTTCTTATAATCACTTGGGGCATCCCGACCCTCGATTTAGTCGAAAAGCGCTCGAAAACGGAAGTCTACGCAAAAAACAGCCTTAAGGAACCGAACCCTCTTAAGGAGCCGAACCATCTTAAGGAGCCGAAACCTCCTGAGAACCGAACCTTCTTAGGAGCCGAAACCTTGCATCAGAACCGAAACCCTCTCAGCCGAAATGGACCGAGGGTTCGGTCTATTTCGGTTCCTTAACCAATCCAAACCGAGACTTGACTTTCGGCTCTTCCCTTCCCACCTTCTGTCCGAGAGGACTGCACCTTCGGTTCGAGAGGCGACCCCGCGCAGCCGAACCCTACTCTCGGCTCCTCTTCTACTTTCGGTTCTAAGGGCTAGGACCGAACCTCCGGCCCTGAACTTCGGAAATTGGCAGGTTTTGCCCAGTTCCCAATATTTTTAGCGTTTTGAACCCGTTTTTCGAGATGTTGAATCATAAAAAGTGACCCTCTTGAACTTCAGCTACCGCAGCTGACAAGCACCCGCAGTCAAGCTCCTTCATCAGCAACCGCATCCGGAGTCTCTACCTATCGCAGTCTCTTTACTAGATTACTTTACTTGTCTTTTATTGTAATACTCTCTATTATCCAGTATGCCTTGCATGGCTACTCTTAGAGATGTAATCTAGTGTACTTCGTGAGTCTCTATAAATAGAGCTCATTCTCTTGTATTCAAAAAAACACACGCATCTATCTATTCTAAATACACATCTCTGAAGTTATCTTTTCTATCACTCTATCTAATTACTCATCCCTTCTTACTCTCAAATCTTACTAGAATACAACTGATTATAACCTTTCTTCGGAGCAAGTCTTTTGTGACTTAATCACTAAGTTTGATCTTCCTTATTAACTTGGTTTGAATGCATTCCTTGTTATGAATCAACTTATGTGTATACTTGATATAACAATTGTTGTCATTTCTATTTCTTTACTTTTCCGCAACTAACTCTCTAACTATCTAACTCTAACTTATTAATATTATTGTTGAGCTTTTAGATCCTTCGAGATTAACTATTCCGTAATATACTTGTTCTAACATTTGTTCAAGTGTGTCTCTAAGTTTTTCTCTCAACAATTGGTATCAGAGCCATAGTGGTTGCTTTTTGAAAACGGAACTCTGATTTTCAAAGAGCCTTCTATACCACTGAAGCTCATTTCTTAAAAAAAAAACTTCAAAAATGGCACAATGATGTTTCCAACAGTGTTTGGTGGTTCTAATCGAGCCCCAATACTGGTAGCAAATGAATATCATCACTGGTCACAAAGAATGGAAAGATACTTAAGGAGACTTGGTAGAGATGTATGGCGATCCGTAGAAGAAGGACCACATGTCCCAGTCCTTACACCAGTCCAAACTGACGGAGCTACAACCAGACTAGGAGGAGGTTAACCAGTCATGAGTCGTCCCACCAAGGATGATCTCGATAAAATGGAAATGATGTTGTTGCTTTTTATGAAATCTCCTGTGGAGTTGCTCCTGACAACTTCGATATTACTGCGGATAGTGCCCGCATTGGATAACTGTGACACCAGTCAAGTTTTGGTCAAAAATAAATTGATCAATAATCGTAATTGGGATGAACCAAGTGGTAGAGTTTGTAACAAGGTTTCCAAAAACATAAAGAACACTGAAATCCGAGTTATAACGAAGAAGTTATGACCAATCGAAAATATGCGGTAAAACCGGCAAAACACTGTTCAGTGTAAAAAGTGAATTTTCGATAAAAGGCTTTTTAGCCTTAACAATCTAAATAAAAGTTGTAGATTATGTTAAACCGAGAACGTTCATAAAAAGAACGTAAAAATCTGACTTCGTATGAGGAAGTTATGATTTTTCGAAGTTTCGGTTTAGCAGTAGACAGCTAAAAATTCGAAATATAAATCGATCAATATTTAGCCGACGCAACTTAAACGAGAATCGAAGGTCTCGTCAAAAGTAGCACAACGGAAAAAAGACAGACGAAAACGGACGTCGGATGAAGAAGTTATGAATTTTTAACGGATTCCTGTCCCGGTCTGTTTAAAATAATAATATTAAAAATAAAGTCAAAACCAGCCGACGAAGTCTAAACGAAAGTCGTAGAGTATGATTTTACATACGCGTGCATATAAAGAACGTCAAAAACGGAGCTCGTATGCGAAAGTTATGAATTTCGCAAGTTTTTGGCACAAAAATCGAGAAATTGTGGATAACCGAGAAATTTCGCATGTCACTCTTCGGACACGTCATCATCACGTGCGAACCTCCATGTATCCCCTGCTGATAGGACCGAACCTTGCGTGGCACCTTCTGATTGGACCGCAGCCGAGGTCCACTAAGCAGCCGACAGCCTTCGCATCGGACACCCCTCGGATGACCCTTCGCATGCGTGGCCTTCTCCCATTGGACCGAAGTCCGGTCCACTTAGAAACCAACACGCGCCTCGCACCGGGTCCGAGCTTCGTAACCGCCTTAGACTTCGGCCTCGTGGCCTTCGCTCCTTCCGACGTGTGTGCTGCTGACTCATCCCTCGCTTCGCCACCTGTCCGATGACTAAGCAGCTTCGGCCGAACCCTCGCACCCCTATATAAAGGGTGCG